TCCAGTCCATAGGAAATGATACACATGCCTTGGAGCAATTGCTTTGAGAAGCACAAGTACATGTATACAGGGGTCATTTCCTGCAGGAGCGCACAGGAGCGGAGCTCCGGCAGTAAGGAGCCCAGGGGGGCGGGCACATGCAACAAGCCCCAGCCCCTGCTCCCAGCAGCCCTCAGTCAGAGCAAGTAGCAGCCAGGTAAGTTGCAGAGCTTCCCCTGGCCCCCCGGTCCAAAACAGTCCAGTGGCACCTTTAAGACCAAGTTTTATTCAGGTACAAGCTCTCCCTCCTCTGCGAGGACAGATCTGCATGTTCCCCCCCCCCAATAGCTAGCAATTCAAAACAGTCCAGTGCAGCCTGAGCGGTGGGTGTTGCCTTCTGACACACTTACAGTGATGTCAGGGGGTGCGGCATATGCAAATGAGTTATGCTAATGAGTTGCTGCACCTCTTTTTCTATGAAATGACCCCTGCATGTATATACACTTGAAGGAACCATATTGGGGGCACTGTTATCACCCCTGCATATTACAGTCACCAGTGATCATCACCCAAAAACTGTTAGTGGGGAAGAATGATGGTGTCTTCATTAAGGTGCCTTCCATACACAGGCTTCTTTGCCTGCAGGTTTCCTAGAACATGTTCTTAGGAAATGTAAACCACTTTCATGGAGGTTCTTATGTACCATGCTTCTGTTTCATTAAAAATGTGTGGATTGTGGTAGATGTATATTTAAATCTCATTTTAACAAAAATGCTGCCTACTTCTCCTTACTCCTGCCGCCCCAGATTTCTTACCTGACTACACCTTGCTGGTTTAGGCATTCATCAGAAGGGCAGAAATGGAACCCTTCCTTCCTCAGCCACTGTCTGCAGCATTCCTACTCAGGGTTAAACATTAAGAGAAAGGTTCCCCAGACACTCCTTATTGTCTAATACTAGTATACAGGGCTTTTTTTGTAGAAAAAGCCCAGCAGGAACTCATTAGCATAATAGGCCACACCCAACAGCAGAAACTCATTAGCATATTGGGTCAGACCTCTGACAGCACAGCTCATTCGCATATTAGGCCACACACCCCATGCCTTCTCTTGGCTTGCCCGGGCAAGCCGGCCCTTGGACAGGCCGGAGAAGGCACGGGGAGGCATTTAAATGCCTCCCCAATCCTTCCAGGGGCCCTCCTGGCCCGCCCACCTCAGAGTCCCCGGGGGGTCACTCTCTAGGCCTTCCCTCTGTGGCCACGCATGCAAAGGTTTTGGCTGTAGTGGGCGTGGCCAACTCTGAAGCCAGCCGGGACTCCGTTCCTGTGCGTTCCTGCTCAAAAATAGCCCTGCTAGTATATCTCTTCCTCGGTCCCAGCACTGATGACCCTGTAGAGAGGGGCAGTCCCAAGCCCACTGTATGAGAGACTGGGATATATAAGAATAATTCTTTTGGCAGACATCCAAGCTCTAAACTGTTTTTTCACCCAAGAGTGTTCAAGCAGTTAGCCACAGTGTGAATGTTAACCCTGGCTTGGCCAGAATGATTGTTTGCAGTACAAACACTTCTCCACATTCTCTCCCATCTAAACAATATGTCCAGTTAACAAATATAGCAGGCAGGCCTTAAGTAAGATTTACTGAGGCCTTAATCTATGTCAAGTTTTATGACTCTCCACAACATTAACAACAACAAAAAAGGTAGATTAGTAATTTTTTAGTCCTTTTTTTTGGTATTTAGAGGACCCTCATAATCTGAGAACCTCAGCTGTAGTTTATTTAGTTTGTGCATGTGCTTGTGCAGTCTTCTGACAGCAGGAGAGGAGCAGGTACAATAGCGCTCTCAGAGGTTAAATCTGCATTTGCATTTTTAAATCGGTTTTGTGCTGCTGTGACGCCGTCTTTCTCTATGCTTGTTTGAACATTGTTTGGAGAAGATTCTTTTAAAGCAGTGGGGAGGTGCAATGACAGTGGAGCCGTCACGAGAAGGTGATAAACATATGTGGGCGTGCAAAAGTATGCTGGCACTGTTGAGGTGTGAAAACATGTAGACAGCTTTTTTGAAGACGGAGTCAGAAGGCTGGGACACCGGTGGGAAAGACAAATGCAGATTCGACCAGGAGAGTCTGAGCTTTTGCTGGGTCTTAATGTTTAACTGCAGCTGGCTGGGTAACAAGCCACACCTTGGCAAACCACACTCCATCTTCTTGCTTATTTGCTGGTGCAGATGTCCCCAACATGGTACCTGCCGACACCTTTCCTGGTGCCCACCAACTGTCCTTAGAAAGTGGGTAGGGCCAGCTGGGGTTTTTGCCCAGCAAGGCCACTGGACATCTGATTGTGCAGATTAAAATGCATCCTATTAAACAGCGTTTCTCCCTGCCCTCTGCCATTTTGCAGTTGGCTCTGCTTCCTGTGGTTTGCACCCACCACCAGAATTCAAAAGGTGCCTACAGGCTCAAAAAGATCGGGTACCCCTATGCTAGTTTTATTTTGGAAAAACCAAAAAAAACAACACCACTTGGCAAAAACAACTTACAAGCAAATAAGCAAGTATATAATGATCAAATAAGCATACAGCAAGTGTAATGTAAATCAAATAAGCAAGTATGATATAATGAAATGTAAATCAAATAAGCATAACAACAAGTATGATATAAATCAATAGGCCAAGGTGCAAAGATAATAGAAACAGTCAGAGTCTTCTCTAGCATAGAGGCAATATCAAAGTCCAAATTGGAATAATCAAATTTTCTGAGCCATCAAAAGCTTCTGAGCCATCAAAAGCCGACGCGTAATCCGGATGCCTGAAGCCGCGTTTCGAATTGTTCTTATTCAAGTATGGCTGTAATGGGACTGAATACAAATTCAAAGCATATACAAATAAGAATGCATGCAAAATATAATTATACAACAAGTGAGAATGCATACAGAATATAAATATTTGAAAAATTAGGAGCTGCAAAGAAAACTCACCCCAGTCTCAAAAGCTGGCATATGCTAAGCCAGAATGATCAGTCAAGGAGGATTAAGGGTCCTTAACCTGCCATGTGCTGCACCTTAATTTATACCTAATTTCAGGCTGCATCGGCACAGGCAAAGTTTCTTAAAAGGTCATAGTGCCATGCATACTGCTCAAAAATCCAGAAGCAGCAAGTGCACTAAACTGCCATCACCTAGAACAAAATATTTAAGTTTCATTTAGGCGACTATCATTGATTGATATAAGGTGTAAAATCCATACTCTGATTCATGCCATGAGGATGATATGTCTTTAAATTGTAAATGAATCTAGTTTCCTTTTGCAAAAGGATTTGTTCAATATTTAGTTGTTGGAAGGGCTTTTTTTGTTGGCAGTATAAAATTATGAACTTCATTTCATTCGCACTATGACCTGCCTGCATGTAATGTCCAACCATTGGTGAATTTTCAACATTATTATTCACTCTGGACCGGTGTTCCAACACCCGAGTCCTAATTGCCCTAGTTGTCATGCCAATATACTTGAACCCACAGGGACAGAGAGAAAGATAAATTAAATTCTTAGTTGAACAGGTTGCTGTAAAATTAAAATTGTATACACTCCCTGTATCTTTATCAGTGTAACTGCTGCCTTCTATCATATGCTGACAAGCCTTGCAATGCCTACACTTAAGGAACCCTTTTGAATTGGTAGCAGGTGTACTGTCCTTAAAGGAATCAGATTTAACTAAAGTGTTTCTAAGTTGTTCAACTAAGAATTTAATTTATCTTTCTCTCTGTCCCTGTGGGTTCAAGTATATTGGCATGACAACTAGGGCAATTAGGACTCGGGTGTTGGAACACCGGTCCAGAGTGAATAATAATGTTGAAAATTCACCAATGGTTGGACATTACATGCAGGCAGGTCATAGTGCGAATGAAATGAAGTTCATAATTTTATACTGCCAACAAAAAAAGCCCTTCCAACAACTAAATATTGAACAAATCCTTTTGCAAAAGGAAACTAGATTCATTTACAATTTAAAGACATATCATCCTCATGGCATGAATCAGAGTATGGATTTTACACCTTATATCAATCAATGATAGTCGCCTAAATGAAACTTAAATATTTTGTTCTAGGTGATGGCAGTTTAGTGCACTTGCTGCTTCTGGATTTTTGAGCAGTATGCATGGCACTATGACCTTTTAAGAAACTTTGCCTGTGCCGATGCAGCCTGAAATTAGGTATAAATTAAGGTGCAGCACATGGCAGGTTAAGGACCCTTAATCCTCCTTGACTGATCATTCTGGCTTAGCATATGCCAGCTTTTGAGACTGGGGTGAGTTTTCTTTGCAGCTCCTAATTTTTCAAATATTTATATTCTGTATGCATTCTCACTTGTTGTATAATTATATTTTGCATGCATTCTTATTTGTATATGCTTTGAATTTGTATTCAGTCCCATTACAGCCATACTTGAATAAGAACAATTCGAAACGCGGCTTCAGGCATCCGGATTACGCGTCGGCTTTTGATGGCTCAGAAGCTTTTGATGGCTCAGAAAATTTGATTATTCCAATTTGGACTTTGATATTGCCTCTATGCTAGAGAAGACTCTGACTGTTTCTATTATCTTTGCACCTTGGCCTATTGATTTATATCATACTTGTTGTTATGCTTATTTGATTTACATTTCATTATATCATACTTGCTTATTTGATTTACATTACACTTGCTGTATGCTTATTTGATCATTATATACTTGCTTATTTGCTTGTAAGTTGTTTTTGCCAAGTGGTGTTGTTTTTTTTGGTTTTTACATTGTACACTGGCTTCCCCCCCCCCTTTTTTGGCCAGTTTTATTTTGGAAGCATTTGAAATTGTGGAGAAAAATTAAATGCTGCAGACATAGATGCTTTAAGCAGACCGTGTAATGTTATGAGTAGAACTGGATTTCTGAAAGGCCACACATTCAGAATTGGAAGTGGAAAAATGTAGAGATGAACTCAGATGGTTTAAATCAAACGCAATAAAAACTATATTCCCTTGCCTTTGCAGTTTGGAATGGCGTTCTTGGGAAAACCCATTCTTTGCACAAAAGAGGACTCCTTGAGTTAGCTGGAACCATAAAATGTGGCACAGGACGAATTCCTTTGGCATATCTGGGTTACGGATGCTACTGTGGCCCGGGAGGACATGGCTGGCCTAAAGATAAAACAGACTGGTAAGAACATCAGCAAATTCCCCAAGCGTCATGCTTGTCTTTCCAGAAACAGAATTCCCTTTAAATGATGGCAGTTTTATGTAAAGAACAAGAGTGACCTCATTAGTAGTAGCCCAACCCAGCAGCAAATGCACTTAGTGGTGAGTAGCAAAAGGGGCAGGTGATGTCATAAGATTAGAACACAACCTGGCCTTTATTATGCTGGATGAAATTACCATGTTGCTAAATTGAGAATGAAGCAGGAAACAAAGCATGCCGCTGTGTCCTCATTTAACTAACTTTAAAATCACTGGAGCTTTGCTAGGGATAAATGTGATTTAACTCTCATTTCACTGACTGACACATCAGAGTCCGTCTTACTGGTGCTCTTAGCACTGTTTATTTGAGTTCTGTTTGCATGGAAGTTTATTGTAACCTGTCTGATCCTTTAGTGCAAACCTAGAAGTATGGAGAAGGACATGTAGTTTCTTGTGCTGGCAATACATCTTTTGTGCTGTGTGTGGCTTGCAAGTCTTTCTTGTTGCTGATTGTGCTTAAGACCTAAAAGAAAACAGACAAAAGCCTTCTTTGGCTGCTTGCGCTGTTGTACTTAGGGTTGCCAACCTCCAGGCGGTGGCTGGAGATCTCCCACTATTACAACTGATTTCTGGATGACAGAGATCAGTTCACCTGGAGAAAATGGCTGCTGTGGAAGGTGGGCTCTATGGCATTATACCCCATTGAAGTCCCTCCCCTTCCCTCCTCAGTCTACACCCCCAAAATCTCCAGGTATCTCCCAACTTGAAGCTGGCAACCCTAGTTGTACTGTCATATCTGACATAATCTTGTGTGTATTAGCTGAAGCAGGATGAACAACAGTGGTCCTTTCTGCACTTGGATCTCATCCCTGGTTTTATCAGAGTTCAACTCGTGACACAATACCTTGCCTTTATCCCTGGTTACAACAGCATCCGTTTAAATGTGGGGTAAAACTAGGGTCACCTCAATGTAATGTGGAAACAAAAAAAGATAATTACAGGGGTGAACTCAAGTGTAGTGTAGAATGTAAGTTCGGGGACAGGGTTGAACCAAGATTTAAGGTTTAGTGCGGATGACGAGTAATGTGGCAGATGGCACACCGCTGTACTAGGTGCAGGAGAAGATGTGGTGCCAACATTACAATCACACCTATTTTCTCTGCAGGTGGCACAAGATCCAGGACACATACGCATCTGAGGTTTCTCAAAAATGCCACATTTGCTAATGAATTTGATTCTCATGGATAAAACCCTCAGATATAAGAAATTTGCAAAACTCTGCATAGCCTGCTCTGAGTGACTGGCATGCATGTGAGTAATAACAGCCAATTGGTTTTCCTGCTGGCCTAACCCACATGCTGAAAGTACTGCTGCTCCTGCTTGTTCAGATGTACAAATTAGGTCACATGATTGTCGGACCTGCACAAATTTATTGTCTGTAGTGTTAGGAGCGATGGAGGGCTTGCCCCCAGAATCTATTTAATTAATTTGTTTGCTGTCTTTCAGCCTTCCCAAATCATACTCACATAAGACAGCTCACAATCCCAAACCCATAAAATATACATATTAACAGCATTAAATGTAAAACAATTACCCCAAAAATCTCTGAGAATACTAGCAACAACCACTAACACTGAATCATTCAAAGGTTTCTACTTCTTCCAGAAGGCCTGTCAAGATAGCAACAATCTCACTTCCTGGGGGAGAGTGGGCCCTTGCATGGAGCTTTGTGTAGGTGTTAAATAGCTTTGGGGATAAGATGGAACCTCGAGGAACCCCACATTTCAAAGGGGCAAGATAGAAACTACACCACCACCCAAGCATTCTGCCTTCCGGAAAAGATCAAAACCACGACAGAACCATACTCTCTAAGTCTCTGGGGATTTCCCTGTGGTGAGGCACAGTAACAGGAGGTGGATGATCTGAAAAACTGCTGCAAAGTACTGGGGTTTGGGGGCTGTATTTATATTAAAAATGCTAAAATTGAGACACTGGGGATGCTCCAAGGCTGGGATTGTGTTGGAGTCAAGAAATTTAAATTCTATTGGTCCATTTGGATTTAATGTGGACGTGGGACACATAAAACAAAAAGGGGGGGGGGGTAAGTGACTGGAATCAACTGGTCACTTGATGAACTGTTGTTACCCAAAGAAGCAGTCTCCTAGTGAATTGGGGGAATTAGCTTTAAGGAAATAGAGCAAGAGGGGGTAAATGGACCAGCTAATATTTTGCCAGATCCTCACTGAAAAGATCTTCCAATAATGCGTAATCACTACTCATTACCCTCTAGGATAGTCCTGACAGAAATTATTAGAACTGCCCCTAATGCCAGACCGCCTGGTGGGGGTTGGAGTCCTCCACTCCCTGGCCCCACTTCTCTGCTGCCAACCAGCTGGTCAGTGGGAGGACTTACTGCAAAAAAAGGGAGGAACACCCGGTGTTTTAGCAACATACCTATGTGACTTCAATGTGACCTGGAAAAGACGTAGGTACATTGGGAATGTTGGGGTGACGCTTTGGGTTTGGGGCAAAAACTCAGTGGTAGAAACTAATTCTGCCATAGAGTTTTTGCCACAAAAAAACCAGTGTTGCCCTGATGTGCCTATGTCACGTCCAGGTCACGCTAGAAATCACCTGGGCATGTTGCTGAAACACTGGGTAATACTCCATGCTCCAGGTAAACCCATCCCCTGCCGGCTAGTTGGTCCATTTGGATTTAATGTGGACGTGGGGAAACTTATGTATAGCAAGGTGGCACACAGCAATCCTAGAGCTGTGATCCTGATCTATCAAAAACATTTCTGGGAACACACGTCACCACAAAGATATGGCAGGATAGAAAGTAATAGTAAAGTATTAATTTCTACATTTTTAAACAGCTGTACAATCCTTAAGATTCTGGAGTAACCATAGATGGCAATCCCTGTGAATAATATTCTTGTTGCTGCATTTACTTAATAGATTGTTCCACACATCTGATTACTTGTAACAACATTAAAAGTTCCATGGGCCTTCACAGCATCAATAAAAACTCTTGCTAGAGTACTGGGGAATTTTCTGTTATAGAATGGTAAGACCAGCTATTCTTTTGGATGACCAAGCGCCAGTTAGGTCCCTTAGAAGTGCTTGCAAATATAACAGGTAACACATCAACCTTTGTTGCCTAAAGGTGCTGCCACAGGCATGATTGCTGCTATGGCTTTGCAGAAGAGCAAGGATGTAATCCCAAGACAACTAGGTACCGATGGAGCTGTAGGCGCAACACTGTGGTATGTGGTAAGGAACCAACTTTGATTTCATTGTAGAGTTTAGATGTATATTATTCACATTATCATAGGAGGCATAAATTTACGGGAGTCATTTCAGAGGTGGAGGAGGCAAAGCAATTTCAGAAGGAAGACTCACAGCGAGCATCAAGAGGCTTGCTCTTGCATATACTTCTGTTTTAATGGTGAAAAAGTTATGCCTTTAAAAAGCATTTGGTGTGGTTATTTTATACGTGTATACCAGAATAATTGGTATTCCAGAGAGTAGATTTAATTTTCAGGTTTTCACGTACTCAATTTGAATTGGGAGCATGGTGTGTTATTTATTTATTTATTTATTCTTTGGATTTGTATCCCGCCCTCCCCGAAGGCTCAGGGCGGCTAACAGGGGCATAAATGCCTAATAAAAACAATAAGAACAATATAAAAATACAATACACTATACAACATAATACAATTAATAAAATATCAGTGCTCCACCACTCACTCCAATTCCTAAAATCAAGATGATATGCCTTCCACCCCATACCATTTTCTCTACTTGATATGACCTTTAAAAAAAGGTAAAGGTTTTCCTTGCTTGAAAGCTAGTTGAATCTGACTCTAGGGGGTGGTGTTCATCTCCGTTTCCAAGCCGAAGAGCCAGTGCAGTCCAAAGACTTCTTCGTGGTCATGTGGCCGGCATGACTAAACGCCGAGGTGCATAGAATACTGTTACCTTCCCACCGAAGCAGTACCTATTTATCTACTTGCAATTTCTTGCTTTCAAACTGCTAGGTTGGCAGGACCTTAGGAACCTGCAGTTGGTTTTGCTGGAGAAGCCAAGCAAAGAGTGGTTCTTCAGGGCCATTTTGTTTATATGTTTATTCATTATTTTGATTTATATACTGCTCCTCCCCCACAAAGTAGGGCTCAGAGCCGTTCACAACAATATTAAAACAGAGAATATAGTTAAAACAGTGTAAAATACAGAGTATAAAAAGCAAACATTTTGGTGTGGGGGAAAAGGACATGAGGGAAGATGTAGGACCCTTCTGGCCCCACACCATGATCCTAATCTGAATAAGATCCATGTGTACCAGGGAGTTAAATTCTAAGCACATCTGATCAACAGGACACATGGGGCAACATGAAGACTTGCAACATGTGAATTGCCCTTTAAATGGTATTCTTGATTCTCAGATTCCAGGATGACTTTATAATGCAAAGAACAGGAGAAAATGGAATGCAATAAATGAAAGTAACAATGTACATACTGTGTGTGAGGATGCCTTCTTTAATGAATGCATGTATGCAAAATAGAAGTTATGGAACACAAGGAGAATCAACCTCGTCATTTTCTTTAGTATACATCAAGTGACAAGGCAAAAATAATGTTATAAATTTCAAATTAACAAAAAAAAAGTCAAGAGGGTTCTTAAAATTAGTAAATAAGTTCTTTCTCTTTCGACTCTACTTCCAGAAGAATCATGCCCCCAAAAGCAGAGCGATTCCATAACAAACACCAAGAATAAAGCAACATTGCTGAGTGGTTGCTAGCTATTCTGAATGGATCTTCCATTCAACTTTATCTACTGAGAATTTCTCTCTGTCTTTCAGATACTGTGCTGGATAGATGTCAACAAATAGTGTGCCAATGCGACAGAGAAGCATCCGAATGTTTGCGATCTGCTGTTTTTAACCGACGCTATATCTTCTGGCCAAATTTTTTGTGTGGCCAAACTCATCCCATGTGCACTTATAATGTTAATGAGAATGGCAAGATATGTAAAAAGATTTTAAAACATTAACATGGAACTTTTTCCGGTGTCTCTGGACTTTGGACTCTCTAACGTATATGCTTTCAGACAGCAGCTGAAGATACAATCTTTTGAATGGTTTGAATGTCATCTCAGATCCTGAAATTACATGTAATGTATATTATGGAAGTGGTTTCAAAATGCCATGTTAACATCTTTTAAGAAATGGCCTCTGTTTCCAGTTTACATAATTATTGTGCACTTGTTTGATGACTTTTATTCATGTCCATATATAACTTGTGGCAAGACACGCGCACAGAAAATGATTCAATGTATTTTTGCAGGATGCCAAAGTGCAATCTGCTCTCATAAAACGTAGTTTTCTATCTGTGCTCAAAAATAAGAGAAAGAACAAACAGAGTTATGCTCTGTAGTCATATAAATTGGCCCTTGGGGCTTTATGTCAAGAGCCCCTACACTAACTTGCTTTGGTGGATATTCTGGCATGTTATGAATTCATTTTCCCAGAAGATGTTTTGACATATGTTCTGCTAGACCACATGACTGACAGTTGCTGGTTCCAGATCACCCTTCCCATTTTTCAGTGAATGCACATGCACACACAAACACAGGCACACACGGGCACACACTCACGTACACATATAAGAAAAGTCCGCAGCCCCTCAATACTTGTTGCAGTACAGAAGCCATAAGGAAGTCCTTATTTATGTGAGATGTTGCTTTGAGGGGCAATATTATCCTTCTTCAGAGTGGCATTTTGTGTTATTTTTGTAGCAAATTGTTATGGCCAATGAGAACATTTTTCATAAACACAAGATGTTCCTGGAACATGCCTCCACACACCAAATTGCTTGCTCTTTCCCCACTCTCAGCTTCCTCTCTCCTCTGCAAACATGACTTCATGTTAAAACTCTATGCAGAGGACAAAGAAATGTGTCAGTGCTGTTAAAACAACCAAAAGAAGCAGAGAATATTCAGTCTCCATGGAGAGACAGTGACTAAAAAAGAAGGGGAGGGAAAAAAGGAGTTGTAATCTTCCCAAACACTGCCAGCAGAGAGTCTTGAATACTAGCTTCTAATGGCTGGAGACACTACGGTGATGCTCAATGGTATTTTTTTTTAACTCTATGTACTGATCAACAATCTGTTCTTCTACACTGAGAATGGTTTTACAAAGCGCCTCAGCAATCTTATAAACAATTCATATCTCCATTTATGAGATCACTCAAGTAAGTGAGGCCTGTGTTCAGGTATCGGTAGAAATTTGTAATGTACCTGACTAACAGAGTCTCAAGGATCTGGTACTGCATTCATAGCTTCATAGGGAAACAAAGTACATAACACACTGTTTTACTCGTATTTTGATTCCAGCACATGCACAAGTCACATGCCCTGCACTGCTTCACTCACACCATGCAAATGGACAAATATCCACCAGCTTAGTACTGAAGTACTCATTATGCACAAATGAATGCAATGAAATTGTGGAGGTCAGTTCTGTTGGGGAAATGCAATTGCACAAGTAGGTAATCTGGGGCAAGAGAAGTGGTAAGGTGTTTAACACTTCCCGAGCTTGCTGTTTTTCTGCTGCAGTTCCTTCCTCAGAATCATTCCCCCTCCCATAGCAATCCAGATGCATGTTTCTAAGACCTATAATATGAATGTATCCCTTATTAAGAACATTCCAAAGGGCTCACGTGCAGTTTTTACTGTTGTATGAGAAAGCAGTCTGAGGCAGTGAGCTGGGGTTCTGTTTTGACAGACCTTTATTTTTTTTCTCCATATGCTTGTTTTCTTAAAATAAATAAATGTCATTTTTGTAGAAAGTCTTCATAAAAGGGTACTAGAACTTTTTATTTTACCTTCCGAAAGACCACAGAAAGCTCTCAAACAATTGACTGTTTTTGTTTACATTCAAAAAATTGTTGTTGGCACATCTGGTATTTTCTCCCTGTAATTATGCTGCCCACATTAAGCTGTGTGGGAAAGAAAAGAAAAGAAAGGGAACAAATGATGTGGAAAAGTAGCAGATAACATAGTTAAACTAAGCATTTTATACCTCAGTTTCATAAATATGCCTTTGCTGCCATTACATTGGCCATGGTCAGTACAGCACTATGCTTGGATTGCTCTATGGATAGGCCTCTCAGATTCTTTCATTCTAAGGCTCCACTGTAGGCTGATCCAACCCTTGCTGCAAGGGACTATGTGGAAGCATCCTGAGATTCATAGTATTCATTAGCCACGTGCTTATGGGCTCATTTTCTACACCCAGAAGAGAAAATTGTGTGATCTTTTTACTTATTGGCACTTTAGAAAAAGTGAGATACAAACAGGCACGGTAACAATAAGTCATTCATCAATTTAAATAGGTGGCAAAGTTGTGTTTTTTTAATTGCCTCCTGTGTGGTTCACCATGGCATAAAAGAGAGAGGAATGACATGGGATGCTCTTAACAATAGTTCTGTCAGAACAGACACCATGTATGCAGACTCTTCCATGCTGAGCCCACCCTAAAGCTTCTGTCTATAGTAGGGTTGCCAGGTCTGGGTTGGAAAATACCTGGAGACTTTGGGGGTGGATCCAGGAGAGGGCGGGGTTTGGGAAGAGGAGGGGCCTCAGCATGGTACAGGGCCATAGAGTCCTCCCTTCAAAGCAGCCATTTCCTCCAGGGGAGCTGATCTCTGTCAGCTGGAGATCAGTTGTAAAAGTGGGAGATTCCCCAGGCCCCACCTGGAGCTTGGCAACCCTAGTCTACGGCCCTTTCTGCATGCACACTTTACTCCTGATTTTACCCAAACTCGAGTCATTCAGCCTTTACTTCAGATGGTGTGCTTGCATTCTGCTAACTCACCTTGGAGTAACCTTTTGAGTAGAATTGCTGTCTCATTCCATATTGGGACATCACTATTAAAATCCTAAGCATTTGCTTCTCAATTAACTTCAACAGCCCTTTTCAGATATTCAGTTTTGACATGCATCTACCACATGCTACCTTCCCAATATACACAGTCACCATTCATGCATTTGTGTGAACTGAAGCTGGGAAAATAAATAAATAAATAAATAAATATAGAGTCGCCCATTCACACAAAACTGTGAAAGTGTGTATCAGAAGAGCTGTGCATACAGTATGCTCTCATTATGCACAGTTAGGGCACTAAAATGCAACATCTAAAAAGGGTAAACGTTTTCCTTATGCTCACGCAGCATGCTTCATGAGCATTGTTCCCAGTTTACAGAACTTCCTGACTTCCTGGCTGTTCCTATGATAACTGCCCCCCCCCCGCAAACTACTGGGCTGTTTATTAGATTTATAAAAGATAGACGGTCAAGAAAGCATGCAGATGCACACCAAATCAAATTGTAATAAACAATACTTTTTGATGACAGCAAGTTTTGCTTTAAAAATCTGTAGTGGTATTGCAAAAAAGTGAGAGATTGCAGTATTAGGTATGTAAAAGCATATCATGGAATCATCAAAATATTAGCTGCTTTATAAATAATAATCATCACATAACATACATTTGCGTTAAGTTATGATGGTTTCAAAAAGTGCTCAGCAATAGTAGCACCATGTAATAATATATGGGGCAGACAATTACCACTGTGATTAGAGACTGGGGGAGACATCAGGTACATAAATCTTCTATAACAATCCCTCTTTCAGTATCTATCAATCTACAGAGCACATTTATGTCCTACCCTCCCTTCAAGGAACTCACAGAGGCAGTCATAGTTCTCCTACTCCATTTTATCCTCACAACAACCTTATGAGGTAGATTAAGCTACAAGAGTGGCCCAGCGAGCTTCATGGCCAAGTATCTGAGTCTCCTCACTCTGAGTTCACCAATATATCATACTAGCAATCATTGCTGGTAATTTGTGCATTCCTGAACAATATGCCAAAGGCAATTCTCAATCTTACAGACGTCTAAACAAATAATCAGTAATAAAACATACAGATGAAGTTAATTTCATTGGGTTACTATGAACACTGTTCTCCCTAGTCTTTTTGCCCTTGGTCTATCTGAAGTGGATAAATTATTATTATTTTTAAACCTGTTGGTCCTTGCATTATAAGTTATTTTTAGCCTCTGACTGAGAGTTTCATTGTCTCCTCCATACCTTGTTGGGATGTTGCTTTAATACACGGAAGACACTTCCTCAGCTGAGGAGTTAAAACTATGATCAGAACTACCAGCCCACCAATGCCAGCTGCTGCCACGCCAATGATTGTTCCAATGGATTCTTCAATACCAAACAGTCCTGAGGGGAAATGCACAGCACAGTCAGAAAGAGAACGTGTGTAACAAAGATAAGAGGATGGAAGCACATCGCAAAAGTGTTGTTTTCTAGAGTTAACATCTTACCAAAAGCCCTTTTCAGTCATTTGTTTTTGGCACTCCAGGTATGCGTAAGGGGAGAATGTGCTTACTGTGATTATCTTGATATGCACATTTGCCATTTTGTGTGAATAAGGCAATGCATATAATTTGAAGATTCATACATGTGAATGCAAACACTCACTCAAATCTGGGTTTCTGATCTTGCACACTGAAGCTGGAAAATACATGCATTTCCCCTAACTGAAAAAGGCAACCATTATGGATAGGTCACTCATTAGGTGTGGTTATGTGTGGTTACAGTGCCAAAATGTAACAACTCAAAAGTCTCAGACAAAGCCTGACCTGGTCTGCTCCCGTGCCTTGTCTGCAAAAAACAAAAACAGGCTGAAGCATTCTGTTTATCAAGTTGCTGTTAGTCACAGGAGAAAGGACTGTTTTTTAAAAAGAAGTTAGCAACCCTAAATTCTTTACTGGCCTGGAGGATGGTAAACAAACTATGATGGATATGTTTTGGGCTGCAAGTCTTGTAGCTCAATATATATACTTTTAAAGTTGAACATAAGGGCTATGATATGCTGCTTCAATAATGTATAAAGGTAAAACTAAACATAGTTTGACTCAGCAAATACTCATAAAAAGCTCCGTTTGAGTTGGTTTAATGAGAATGGGGACTTCCTGTACTCAAAATGGCCTGACTTCAATACTTTTCATAGATAAGGGAGAGTTTCAGTAGGTCCAGCCTCTTCTGTCACTATGCCAGTATGACTGGAGAAGGGGACAACTTCATGTTTAAGAGTTTTTCTGAATCACATTCAGAGAAGTTTTTCTGGCATGACACCACCAGATGTCACCCAAGTTTAAAGTAACAACATTGCACTAATCTCCTTCATGACTTTCATTCCATCACTGAATGGAAAATCTGAAGTTATGTAGAGATACATGGGTAGAAGAAATGAATCAAGTAATCCAACCATTTATATATTGTAATAATGGCTGCAATACTACGCATGCTTACCTGGAAATAAGCCCCATGGAATTCAATGGGACTTGTATCTTAATAAACATGCACAGGATTGGCTGCAAGTAGAACAGGAAAATTACTACTGGACTAGGCTAAGATCAAAACAGGTGATGATAACTGAATAATATTCAGGTGAGAAAAGACACATAAAAAGGTAAAGGTTCCCTTGCTCGAAAGCCAGTCGAATCCGACTCTAGGGTTGCGGTGCTCATCTCCGTTACAAAGCCGAAGAGCCAGCGCTGTCCGAAGACGTTTCCGTGGTCATGTGGCCGGCATGACTAAACACCAAGGCGCACGGAACGCTGTTACCTTCCCACCGAAGTGGTCCCTATTTATCTACTTGCAATTTCTTGCTTTCGAACTGCTAGGTTGGCAGGAGTGAAGACACATATCAAGAAATAATTATGGAATGGGTCACAGTTTGAACAGGTTGCCAACTCCAGATTGGGAAATTCCTGGCGATTCAGGGGTAGAGTATGGGGAGGGGAGGGACCTCATTGGGCTATAATACCATATAATCCACCCTCCTAAGCAACCATTTTCTCCCGGGGAATTATCTCTGTCATCTGGATATATATTGTAATTTCAGGAGATCTCCAGGCCCTACGTGAAGGTTGGTAACCCTACAGATAATATCAAAGTACTATAGCTCCTGTCCATAGGATTTACGATCTATATTATATAGTAAAAAGGGCATGGTGAGTATGTCAACGATTTACAAAATAGGCTTGGTACCCACGTTAGAAGAGTGGCTCTTCCCTAGTTGCAGTTCCCACACAGTAACACATGGAGGGGCCTGTGCCTCTGTGGCAGAGCATCTGCTTTGCATGAATCAGGTCCCAGTTTCAATCCTGGGCATCTCCTGTTAAAAGGATCGTGTAGCAAGTGATACCAAAGACCACTTCCTGCGTCCCTGGAGAACCACTGCCTGTCAGTAGACAAGACTGACTTTGATAGACAAGGGGTCTAACTCCGTATATGGCAGCCTCGTGTGAGTCCCTGGTTGGGCCTTAATGGTTGGGGTGATGTATTTAGGAGAAGGTTCTTTTTATCTTGAACTTCTGCTGCTCATTTGATAGATCAAGATGGGTAGCTGGGTTAGTTTGCCTGGACTCTCACTCCTTTGCTGTTATTGTGAGAAATGACGCTGGAAAGCATTCCTCTCATGCTGGCATCTACTTCAGCTATGAAACCCCTCTTGTAAGATCAATGTGTAAAATGGCCTCTCGTCATCACCACTTGTCGGATGAAGCAAGAAGGCTGAAAGCCATATATGGCTGACTATACTAATTGTTTTTTTAATCTCAGGCTTTTCTACACCACATTCTCTGCTGCTGAAGCACAACATCAGGCTGACAAATGAGTCACTGCAGATGATCACAGAGATAGCTTTTATATCACCCAGCATCATTTCAAATGCTGTGCTTCTTAAATGATGAGACTATTCACATCGTGGACAAAACGTCATCAAGTGAGGAGTAATCAGTGGATGAGAGATAAAGTAGTCTACCTATGTGTGCCCTCAGATGCCATCTCACACACTGAATGGCCTCTAACATCCACTTACCCACATGGAAACAAATGCCAAACCCATTAGAATAATCAAATGTGTGTAACTGACCACATCACTTTCTTGTGTATTTCAATCACGCAAGCACTGGACAGTTCAAAACTGACTGAGCAATGTAGAAGATACTGAAATGGCTAATAACACAGACTTTTAAAAGTTTTATCTATACCACAGAATTTTTAAAAAGCTCTAGTTTAATCACCATTTCTCTTCTACCCAGCAACACTGAGAACCGTAGTTCTGTCAGACGGAATGCTAAGAACTCTCAAAACCAACAACAAATTCCCAGGATTCTTTGAGAAAAGCCATGTGAGTTCCAGTGTGGTGTAGAGATTAAGGGCAGCAGACTTTAATCTGGATAACCGGGTTTGATTCCCCACTCTTCCATACAAAGCCTGCTGGGTGACCTTGGGCTGGTCACAGTTCTCTGAGAACATTCCCATGAAGGGAATGTGATTGTATGCCTTTTTGAGACACCTTAAGGTAGAGAAAAAAGCAGAGTATAAAAACCAACTCTTCTTCAAGTGTAGAAGACTGATAAACTGTGATAGTTCGGATACTTGGTAGGGCGTCAGTCATTTTTTTCATGATTTCTCACCAGATGGTCAGCTCCAGGCCAAAAAGCCTGCCTCCATTTACCACTTTTTACTATAGAGGAGAACTAACAAAAGAATTAAAAGAACACAGAACAGAACTTTACCCATTGCTCTCCTGATCCTGAGCTTAGTGCCATCACCTGTCCGTATTTCTCCACTGGGAAATATCACCTGGCAGAAATAAATGCCATGATCACTGGCTGTCACATTTAAGATAGTTAGAGATGCATCGCCTTCAGATAAGTCCCCTGCCATAAAAACTTTGGAGTAGTTTGCCAGGATAGTGACATTGTTTTCCATGAGGTCCCTCTGCCCCTTTTCATCTTCCTTGTACCACTTCACGGTCAGCTTGTTCAAAGATGGACCTTGGGCACTGTGGAAGTGGCACCCCAAGATCACAGTTTCTCCCTCTTTGGCTTTCTCTTTTCCTGGGGTCTGAGTTACAGATGCATGCTCTGGCATAATTTGGACTGTTTCTGTGTGGAGCACACCAGAATCGGTTGTGGCAACAGCAGACAAATTGGTTGGGCCGGCAGTATTCTCCTTCGCTATATTTCCAACATCTGCATAAACAGCTGCAAAGGAAGTGAGAAAGATGAATATACTTCAAAATTATGGAGGATAACAATTCCTGAGGGACCAGTAGGAACTAAGGGGTAGGGGAAATTAATGTTACTAAACTGTTTTGCCTGTGTGGAGGGAACTGCAGAGGGGAAAATAGAAAGGGTGGGTGATGGTTTACTTTGTAATCTTTCAGGAAGAAGAGCTTTACAATTATAATCCATTGGAACAAATGAAAGAAAGTGGACCATGTCCAGTCTGCACAACTGGTTTACGTCTGTATAGAGTGCCCATGCCTGGCATGGGCTGCAAGCAGGAGCTGCAAGCACACACATTAGCATACAATCAAGAGCCCTGTGAGAACATCTGAACAGTTTATAGCATGCATATTTCCAGAGGAGGAGGTGCGCTAGTTTATTGTAGCAAAATAAAACAGAAATCCAGTGGCACCTTCAAGACTAAACATTGATTCCAGTCAAAGCTTGCTTCTTCAGTTGTTATGAAGAGGAAATTATTTTCCACATTTTTATAAGGAAAATTACAGGGGGGGGGAATTGAGGAGTTAGGGACAGAGAGAGGTTTGTTGTGAATCTCATTATAAATATTTCAACACGTCAACAACTTGTGCTCATGGTAGCCAATTCACATGATTTGTTCCAGGGAGGAGAATTCATGGACGTTTCTAAAGTAATTGCATGCATTGGCTCATTAGGTTGTAGGAGCACATCTCATAAACTAACTTACACCTGGTTTTTGGTGGCACAATCCTGAGTTTCTGTTAAGAATAGTTCAAACATGACATAGCTTTTTTATGAGTAGCAATAATATCTCAAGTAGGCCTAAGTGTTTTTTTCTCGTGGTAAACCCACACATCAGGAAATGGCATATAAGAAAAAATGTACTATGCGGAGCCCTAAACTTTTTGATTGTGGGAGTTCCCTTCCTTGTGTAACTACGTCTTCCTGTCCTTTGCATTAAATTAACACATGCCCAGACTCTGAGTGGGCAGGAAGGATCATAATTTATTCACATTGCTTCCAATGTTTTAAAAAAGCCTGAAATAGAGTTTAATGACAGTTGGGCAAAGAGGCTGGACAAATTCTTTCAGAACTACCTGATATGTGGTGCTTTCAAACTGTAGATAAAAGGGCTGAGAGAAGACCCCAAACCTGTTGTCAGCAATAGAAGTTAATGCTGCAGTCATAGGCACCCTTGCTTGGATAAAGTGGAAGTGAACTTTCAAATTAGACTTGACTAGATGGACCAGTGGCCTGATCTAGCAGGGCTAGGGTTGCCAAGTCTGGTTTGGAAAATACCTGGAGACTTTGGGGGTGGAGCCAGGAGAGGGTGGGGTTTGGGGAGGGGAGGGGCCTCAGCACAATACAATGCCATTGAGTTCACCCTCCAAAGCAGCCATTTTCTCCAGGGGAGCTGATCTCTTTCGGCTGGGGATCAGTTGTAAAAGCGGGGGATCCCCAGGCCCCACCTGGAGGCTGGCAACCCTAAGCAGGGCTCTTCTTATGTTCTTATGACTGGGCTTCACCTATGTTTTCCTCTGTTTATTCTAATTCTAACTGGCCAATACCAACTAATAAAGAGGAAGATTAAATGTTTTACTGTAAAAAAAAAAACAAAAAAAAAACCCACCCACACATTTGATAGCTTCTACTGTGTTCATAATGCAATCTACAAGCCAAGGCTGGTTATGGGCATTTGTTCAGAAGACCAGGAAATTCTGTCTAGACACCCTGTAGAATCCCTTGTGATTCCACTTTCACAAGGGTAGGGAAAATAAAAATCTTTGAATAACTTGCAAACTGAAGAGACATTTGAGAGACAGTTGAGGATGTTAACAAGGCCATAGACAGTACTTTCAACAATGTTTAGATAATCAAATAGGGGACAATAGATTTCTATATATTAAAGAGGTGTGTTGTAGCAAAAACACTTAAAAGGACATCCCATGGTGTAGTGCTAATTTTAGAGTCAAATGCCCACAGAGCAGCTGAATGTTCTTCATTTTTGGAAACAAGCTGATTATAGTGCAATCCTAAACAGAGCACATTGACTTAAATGGATTTAGAAGGGTATAACTTTGTTTAGGATTGCACATTAGTATCTAGAAATAGCAGGATTTTCCCACATTGAAATATCTCAGTGAACTGTAGTACAATGAAAGGACTATCAATGACAGCACTAATGTTTTCAAGCAATCATTGTAGAGGTTTTGCCTAATAGAAGACTGCACAATACCTTGTCTTCTATGAGGCTATTTTATTAATCTCTGACGTGCCTGTGTCCAGAATGCAGGAGCGTGGAACTAAATCACTTTGTCCATGACGCAAGCGTTTGTATACAAGTAACTCCGTCATATAAACATTCTCTGTTGTATTTGTTGAGACTTTTAAAAGTTCACAAATGTTTAACAAATTCATTTTAACACTGTGACTTTTGCAAAGTGGCATATCTTGTTTACAGAATCTCTTTGCCCCAAAGTAGATCATTAAAATCTTTGGTAGCCAGCAAAAACAAGACGAGAGTAACAGGTGCAATTCAAGAGAGGCAGTCATGAACAATATGGAAGGGAAGGATAACAGCAATACAGAGATTTTTGGTTATTTAAAATTTACTTTATTTGTATCCTACCTTTCACCCTAGTGGGGATCCAAAGCAGCTTACAGTATTCTCTTCTCCTCTGTTTTATCCTCACAACCTAAGGTCGCCCAACAACTTCCATCCATGGTATAAGTGGGGATTCGATCTTGGATTTCCAGATCCTAGTCTGGCATTTTAACCACTATACCATGCTGACTCTACACAGATGCTGTGCATCACTCTAGCTGATGTGTGCTGAGATTGATTGCAGTTACCAACCTCAGTCGGTTCTCCCGGAATCAATATATTTAATTCTAGCTGTGGATACTTATATCTGGAGAATGGACAGATCTTTCTACAAGCCAGATCTTTCTACAAACCTGAGAAAAGACTCGGTTTGCAGAAAAATCTGGAATTAAAATACAACAACAATATTGAGAGATTGAAACAGCCCAAAATAATAAAAGCAGCACACGCACCTTTAAGGAACAAATGCTGTCATTGGTCATTTTTGAGGTTGCTAGAGAACTACAACAACATACTGGCTTTCAACTCTTGGTTTCTGTCAGTAAAAGGCAGGGGGAGGTGGCAGGGCCCTTTCCATGGCATTTTGGCCTCCCAGTTGACCTTGCTTTCCTCCCCCTTGTCGTTGATGGATAAATCACTGGGGCCAGGCCTGGCAACAACCAACAGGTAACTCACTACTATGACCTGTACAATTCAAACAGACCCAGTGACTCACAATTGCACAGCACCTACTGCATGAAAACCAGTGTTGAGTAGTGGTAAGAGTATCTGACTAGCTTCTGGGAGACCTGGGTTTGAATCCTCACTCTGTCATGAATGGGCAGCCTTGGGCCAGCCATTCACTCACTGTTGGCATTCTCAATACCTCACTGGGTTGTTGTGAGGATAAAATGGAGGTGAGGAGAACAATAAAAGCTGCTTTGGGTCCCCAGTGGGGAGGAAGGCAGGGTACAAATGAAGAAAATAAATAATAAATGTAACTGAAGATGGGGAACGGATGGTTGATTGGTAGGAAGGAGAGAAGGAAGCAGGGAAAGGTTGCCAGGACGAGGGAAAAAGGAAATAGCATGGGTAGAGGAGAACAGGGGAATATGAGGTGCACTCTGCAAGTTCCTCGCTGTGCAACTGGGCCCAGCCTGGCAGCCTTAGGCTTACCATTCCCCTGGGGGGGCAGGTGTTTGCCCACTTTTAGGGCCCCCAATCCGCCAACCCAGATCCGGCCGGTAGGGGTAACTCCGCCCCCAAAGTCCCAGGATTGTTCCAACGTGCCTGGCGTAATGACATCACCCGGAGGTGACGTCATCGCACTGGGCACGTCACCAGGGGGACGCTCTAGCACTTGGCCAAAAAACTCTATGGTGCCATAGGGATCCCAAAGAGGAGCCAGGAGTCCCCTGTCAGCAGAAGGTAGGGACCTGGCAACCCTAGGCAGCCTGCACCATGGAATTAGGCCCAACTCAGAAGCCAGTGTGAGGATAAGGTACTGCACATCTTGGCTTGGTGACTGGCACTGCACAACTGGGCCATAGTTTTCCTGGGTAGAGACTACCAGGGTGAGGGAAGCAGGGAAAGCTGAAGACGGGGGCAGATAAAGTTAGGTTGGCTGGTGGAAGCAAAACAGGAAGCCAGAAAAGGGGAGAGACTATGGGAGCTTTTAGGGAAGGGAAAGATGAAATATTGGGGGTGGGGAAATGAGATCCCCCTCTGTAAGTCCTTGTGGATCCCCCACTTGTAGATCCCCCACTGATCTAATTATCAGTGTCTCCAAATCAGTGGATACTTAAATCCAGAGACTGAAGCCATGAACCAACAAGACAAATCTTTCTACAAACCTGAAAAATATTCCGGATCTGCAGAAAAACCTGGAATTTAAAATAAAATACTTTGGGGGTTAAAACCATGCAAAATTATGGAATGAGCACCTGTACTTTAAGAAAGAATGACCTCAGTGGCCATTGCAAGGCAACCACAACAGTATTGCCAGGCTTTCCAGCCTTGGTTTCTGGCAGTAAAGGGCAGGGGTCAGGGCCCTTTCCAAAGTTGTTTTGGCCTTTGAGGCAGGACTCTTCAGGCCAGACCTGGCAGCAATCACTGCACAACTTGCTACCATGTGACTGTTGGAAATGTATGTGTTTACAAGGTCTGACAATCCAGTCATTATAGGGTTAACTTGTTTACCTAGTATTGCTATTGTTTGGACTGACCTGGAAGGGAAACCTGGCACAGAGCCAATGGGGGATTAGCCCGGGAAAAGGTGTGATACAGATTGGTTGTTTGTTTTCAGTTGACTTCCTTTCTAGGGGTTGAGAAAAAGGACAGATTCTCCATTATCTGTGTGTAGTGTGTAACAATGATTTGAACTGTAAGCAGCTTAGAAAATGTAGCTCTTAGGAGTTTGTTATTTTGTAGGTTTCCTGTATACCTTTCACCCTTAGAAATAAAGTTTTTTAAACGCAAAGAAATCTCTTCTTTCCAATAGAGCAAGATCCATCGATACTCTGAGTATTTTAAATACTTTTGACTATTTTACAACAATGACTTGCATGACTCACCCAGGACGGGCTGGTCATCACTCTGCCGTGGAAGCTCCCTTGATGACTTTCTGCCAGTTACACATTGTCAGCCTAACTTACCTCCCGGGGTTGTTGTGAAAATGGAGGAGAGGAGAATGATGTAAGTTGATTTGGGTCCTTGTGGTAGAGAAAGGTGGGGTACAAATGAAGTACATTAATAATGCATATAGCTGTAAATGGGGGTGGGGGAGATAAAAGGTAGCTTGGTGGGTGGAAAGGAGAGAAGGAAGCAGGGAAAGGGGAAGATATGGGAGTTGCCAGGAAGCAGGAAAGCGGAAATAGTACAGGAATGTGGATACACAGGAATAAGTGAGGTGCCTCCTGCAAGTTGTTGCAGGTTCCCCACCATACAACTGGGCTTGGCCAGCAGCAAACATTGCATGACTGAGCCATAGTTTTTCCGGGAAGAGGCTGATGGGAGAGAGAAGGACAGCAAACTGAAGACGGGGGCATATAAAGGTAGGTTGGCTGGTGGATCTGAAGGAGAGAAGGACACAGAAAAAGGGAGAGGATATGGGGGGCTTTCAGGGAAGGGAAAGAGGAAATAGTGGGGGAAGAGAAAATGAGGTGCCCTCTGCTTGTTACAACTAGTCTCCAGGCTACAGTTCCCCTGGAGGAAATGGCAGCTTCTGAGGGTGGAATGTATGGCATCACATCCCCACTGAGCTCTTGTCCCTTCCCAGACTCCCCAGGAAACCCCCCCCCAAAAAATCTGTGGAATTTCCCAGTCCAGAGTTGGCAACCCTAAAGTCTAGTGCTCCTACAGTTATGGTAAAACTCTCTTCCAGACCCATAATTAAACCAGATAGATTAAAAAATTAGAATTTTCATTGGACTTCTTTTGATTTACAATGGACAACAGCATTTATTTTTCTTGTTTGTCCTCACAATCATTTTGTGTGGTAGTTCACAATTATGCCCATTTTACAGATGGGTAAGTGAGACTGAGAGCTAGCCAAGGACAGCATGGGATGTTGAGTCCCACTCTTGTGTCCTGCTTTAGAGGAGGCTACATTTCACTGGTGGGGGAAAAACACCTTAATAAGGTATTCTTAAAAGAAGGGACTTGTTATAAATAACAGTAGTATGCTTTTAGCCCCTGGTTGTAGCTGTTCCTTGTCAAACAAAAATGCAGAATCTTAGGGTATGTTTAAAAATAATACATTTATTATGGCCCAAGCTGTCGTGATCCACAACCTAATTCACCAGTTGCATACTGTATATTATATATACTCATAAGTACTGTACAAATGGAAGAAAGGTGTTAAGTGGTGATGCTATTATATACTATAACCTCTCAAACAACCATCATATTCTCGTTATTTATTACACTGACATTTCCATGTACTCAGGGCAGCACATATTGGGCTGTCTCCATTTTATCTTCATTGCAGACTTATGGGGCAGGTTAGATGGGTAGATGGTAACTGATCCAAGGTCACCCAGGAAGCTTGTTACTGAGAAGGACTTTGAACCTGGATCTCTCCAGTCTAAATTCAACACATCAGACATTGTATAACATAACCTAGAGGAAAAGGCATAATTCTGTCTAGATGTCAACAACAAAGCCTACAGCAGTTGAGGACATGGTGAAGAACACTGAAAAAGTTGGCACAAAGGCAACGTCAGCAAAGACAGGCATTCTTCAAAGCAAACCTTTCACTCTGATTTCAGCTTCAGAATAGAGTGGTCTGCATTTTAGCAGATTTCAGTTGCCACTGCCAAACATTTTTCTTTTGTCAAGCTAACTCTTGCTGTTGAGAACTCTTTTGTCTTTTGTCACTACTTAAGACAATCAACTTTTATTATTATGATTATACCTGTCAATCATATCTAAAGATTCTGGAATGCATCTTACCTTTCCATTCAGCAATGCTGGAAGCCTTTCTCCAGCCAAAGGAGCCTTCCTTCAACTTAAGTTGCTCTTTCACTGAGTTATATTCTCTGTATATATATTTGAGCATTTATTTCTGTGTTTTTCTTCTATCTGTGTTGCCTTTTTATCAGTTTTATATAGAACTCAAAGTGGTTCACAAAATATAAAAAAACATTGGAGCAAACAAATTAATTCAACTGTAAAACAAGCAAAAAACAACACCTACAATATATTAGATCCAATGATTCCATTTGACTCACAATGGTGCTTTCCACCAATGGCATGCATTACTTCTGATGCAGCAAGTTTCCTTGTGCTGGTAGAAGGCTCCTTTGCTCTGAGGAAAGACGTGGTCATTAGCAAAATGGAATTGTGGGACTCAGTATCTAAAACCAGCCAGCTACAACATAATCAGAATAACTAAAACAGCAGACTGAGTCTCTGAAATGTTGAGTCCGACTCTCTGCAACCCCATGGACCACATCATGCCAGGCCCTCCTGTCTTCTACTGTCCTCCAGAGTTTGCTCAATTTCTCTGAAATACCCTGTGGTATTTTGTTTGTTTGTAGCTATCATCAAGTCACAACCAATTTATGGCTACCTCTTAAGCTTTTACAGGCAGGGCATGTTCAGAGCTGGTATGCCATTGCCTTCCTCTGTGGCTCCCATCCAAATACTAGCCACTGCTCACCCTACTTAGCTTCTGACGAGACTGGGCTATCCAGGTCAGGCCATGGTAATAAAAAAGGTAAAGGTTCCCTTGCTCGAAAGCCAGTTGAATCCGACTCTAGGATTGCGGTGCTCATCTCCGTTTCAAAGCTGAAGGGCCAGCGCTGTCCAAAGATGTTTCCGTGGTCATGTGGCCGGCATGACTAAACACCAAGGAGCATGGAACGCTGTTACCTTCCCACCGAAGTGGTACCTATTTATCTACTTGCAATTTCTTGCTTTCGAACTGCTAGGTTGGCAGGAGCTGGAACTAGAGACGGGAGCTCACTCCATCATGCGGCACCCGGGTCTCGAACTGCTGAACTACCGACCTTCCACAGCCTGCATTTCAGTGTCTTAACCAGTTGAGCCATAAAACGGTCCAAACAAGGAGTTTGAAGGCCAAGCATGAGGGGAAAGGCAAAACAGCACTACGCATGCCCGACTGTCTGTAGGCACACAAACTGGGTTCCCATAAGATCACAGAGAAGTTCATAGAAGTGGAGATGCTCCTTTACATCACCTGTCCTATACCCTTCACATTTTTATACCACTACAATAGTTGTGACGAAGAGTTCTGGAAACCCGAAATGCCTGCACGTTGTCTTGTGTCATTCTGCTTGGTCTTAATAAGGGGTATTGTGAGGCTTTCATCAGAAGAGAAGAGAAATTCTGCAAGTACATCTGGTCATGCAGACAAGCTTTATCTGTTGAATTCCCCTGCTCCCCACAGGAACTATGCTTTCTGCATTTGGATGCTCTAGGACTGAATAACCAGGCAGCATCAATGTATTTTAATAGCATGCCCATACTTGACACAATGACAAATGACTGTGCATAACTTTGGCTTTAGTTCTAGTGCCTCCTCAAATTCCCTTGGGATGGCATAGGAAAATGGGTATTAATAGCATCTTTGTGATTAGAACTGGTAATTGATCTATCAAAAGAGGAACCTGCCTCAGATCTTAATGATACGTGACTAGAGGACAAATCTGTCTGGTTTGATTTATTCCTTTCAAAAAAACCACATTCCCTCTTCAGGTGCAACTACAACAAAATAATAGCCATTTGTTTATAAGTACAACAGCAGGTGGATCAAGCAATAAAATCAGCACTAATGCTCCTCTTCCACAGTTTGGTATAGTGGTTAGGAGCACGGACTCTAATCCTGGAAAACCAGATTTAATTCCCCACTCCTCCACATACAGCTGCTGGTGTGACCTTGGGTCAGTCACAAGTTCTTTCAGAGCTGTTCTCCCAAGGGCAGCTTTTGGAAGAGCTCTCTCAGCCCCACCTACCTCACAGGGTGTCTGTTGTGGGAAGGGAAAAAAGAATGTAAACCACTCTGAGTGAAGGGGGGGTATAAATTTCTTCTTCTCTCCTCCTTCACCACAAGAGTTTTTTTAAACTCAAAATCATCTTAAAAAAAACAACCTTGTAAATCCAGACTCTAGAATTTTGAGGTCCATAAACTTGGTCTTCGTGCATCCCCCAGAACCATTATATCCCAAGCCCTCATTTGAAAATCAGTCCTTAGGACAATAGCACACAGCCGACAATACCTACTTAAGCAAGTCTGGCCTAATACCTGTTTGCATGTGTGTTAAGTGCTGTCAAGTACCTTCTGATTTATGGCAATCCTAGGAATTAATTACCTCTAAAGTGTCCTATTATTAACAGCCTTGCTCAGGTCTTGCAAACTGAGGGCCGCGGCTTCCTTGATGAAGTCAATTCGTCTCTTGTTTGGTCTTCCTCTTTTCCTGCTGCCTTCACCTCTTCTCATAGTGTGACCCAAGTATGACAGCCTCGGTTTAGTCATTTTAGCTTCTAGGGACAGTTCAGGCTTGATTTGATCTAGAACCCAATTATTTGTCTTTTGGCGGTCTACTCTCCTCCAGCACCCCATTTCAAAGGAATCTACTTTTTTCCTGCCTGTTTACCCTAAAGTAATTCCCACTGCATTCAGCAGGGTTTGCTTCTAGTTCAGTAAGCATGCATAAAGGGTGCCATGACAAGCAGAGCTCAAAAGCCGCCATGAATACCTACTGCCACAGATTCAACATTAAAGAAAAGAATCAGCCCGATTACTCACCCAGCCAGACAGAAATTAGGAGAGGTGGCACTGCCCAGCTGTAAAAGTTCAACACTTGCTGTTTCATAGCTAAGGATGTATCTTCTCTGGCTTTTCCTCTCCGAATGTATGGACGGAAAAAGATGTGCCTCTTGTATGTTTGTGCGGCTGACAGAACAGGACTTCGCATTCTGCCCGGTAAATGTCACACTTACTAAAGTTACCACCGCTTTGAGTTCACAGCATTCTGTCGGCTGCCTAGAGGGCTGCCGCTTTTGGACTCGCTGCAGTTATTTCCGTAGGGAAGTGCTGCAAAAGGGACAAAGAAGGGGCACAAGGGATGAGGTCAATTGGGATGATTTTGTCCCCGCTAACCCCTGACTTTGGAGTTCATTGCTGGATATTCAGTTGATCTTCCTAAAACTCTTTGAACCCATGAGGAAGTAGCAAACACCAGATAGGATTGTGCATGTTCCTGCTTGGTACTTTTGACTCCAGTAACCATTATCAATGATTTGCCCCCCAAAAGACATAATAGATATCTTGCACACATTTCCTATTGCTTGGGATTATTATTATTGAATTTGTGTCAGGGTTTGGAAAGGAAAAATATGAAATTTAACTGCTCTTGGAATAAGAGGTTGACTTACTTCTTCTTAATTAAATCATTCTTTGGTTTGGCTATTGGAGCTTTTTGGAAACAGCAGATGTGAATCTGTATTGTCTGGAAATAGTAAAGGCTCAACACCCAGGGAATAGTATAAGTCAGTCTTAGAATTTGTTCCCAATACCCATCTTGGGAACCTGTTATGTAAAAATGAAGAAGGGAATGCCTCTGACATTGTGCAGAGGGGATTTCTTCACCACTGAATAATTGTAACCTACACCATATGTCTGGCATTAGAAGAAGGACCTTTTAGTTCACAAGAGGTAGCTTCTGCAAAGGGTTGAGTAAATGGCACCTCTCATCTGGAACACTGGAGAAAAGCCCCAGTGCTGTTTTATGGGGAGGGATGACGAAGACAGCTCTTTATTTCATAATCACACACACACACACTACTGTATCCTAATCCTGTCAACAACATTACAGCTATAGTGCAACCTCGACGGAAGACACACAATTTGCTTTATTTCAGTTTTCCAAGCTCAGGGACTGACTACGTAAGTGCAGATTTTTCTGGGAAATTTTTCTTAGCACTGATATCAAGATGAGAAAGAAGAAAGGTAGCTAAGCACGCCCAAGATTGCCTTCTGGACAAAAAGCTTGAGATTTTTCACCACCGTGCCTATTTAGGGTTTGGGCTTGCCCCTTTCACCAACAGAATTTCTGTGGAGCATTTTTAGCTTCTCTCTTTGTCTTTCATGGGGATGAATCACCCATGACTTTACATCTACAAAAAATATCCTCATTTTAGACTGTCCCCTTTAGAAATGGCATATAGGACAGCAGTGTGTTGCTTAAAAAATACTTATCTAGCATTAACCTCATTGGATACCAGTAATGGCAGGTGGAAGGAGTCAGGGATGCTTAGTTTATTATTACAGAGTGCTCAAATTTTTCTGGGAGCAACAGTTTAGATGTTTAGGGTTGGACTGACATCACTCAGCAGTGAAGAGATTCTGTGCATGTTCAGATGTGTTTTTCTCTTATTAATTCAAACACTGAAGGGAGGCTCTACGCATGTTCAGATGTGTTTTCCTCTTATTATTTCAAACACTGAAGGGCTGAGCTCTAGCTGTGCTTTCAACAACAGATTTCAGGGCCAAGGCCTGAAACATTGTGCAAATGTTTCACCTGGACAGGCTTTTGCTAGTCAGAACCTCAATTGCTTTGGGCACTAACGAGCCACTAGATGGTGCTACAGGGTTCTTCTCAGTTAAACTGGGGTAATGGTGCCACAGTGCTCAGTAGGCAAGATATCAGGAATCAGGGATGCAGAGGGCCTATTGAGAAAGTTTCTTTGGAACCTGACAGAGCAGTCCTATGTTGTTAACAGTCTAAGCCTTTGAGAGGAGTGGGCTTAACCTGGAGTAACTTTAGATGGGGTTGCACTAAGTGAAACAGGGAAGTAATGAGACCTTTGATCCAATACCCATGCAAAAGAAAGAAATTTATTTATTTATATTTATATATTTATTAAATTTATATCCCGCCCTCCCCCGTAGGGCTCAGGGCAGCTTACATGGCAAGAAATCTTGCTAGTAAAAACATCAAATAATTTAGTACATTTAAAACATATTATACAATTTAAAACCCTCTCAATGCATTAAAGTGCTCAAACTACAATTCATCCATTCCGGAATCTCAGAGAGATGACAACCACATCCACAACCAGACATCCCCGGTAGGCATTCCATGTCCTCCATGATGTTAAAACAGATGTTTCTACCTTCCTTCCTAGGGCCCTTCCCCCCGCCCCAATGATGGTAATGTAACAGGGGCGGCGGCGGCGGCAGCCCCTAGTCGAAGGCCTGGTGGAAGAGCTCCGTCTTACAGGCCCTGCGGAACTGCATCAGGTCCCGCAGGGCCCGGATCTCCTCCGGGAGCTCGTTCCACCAGGTGGGAGCCGCCACCAAAAAAGCCCTAGCCCTCGTGACGGCCAATTTAGCATCTTTGGGGCCTGGCACCGTTAGAAAATTTTGGGCCCCTGACCGTAGTGCTCTTGGGGGAACATACGGGGAAAGGCGGTCCCTCAGGTAGACTGGACCCAGACCAGAAAAGTACCAAGGGAACGTTAATCAAAGCCACATTGCACTGTGAACTCCTATCACCATGCCAGTAATTCAACTCCTCCTTATCAAGTTTGGCTGTGATTTGGGAATTGTAATATTATTTTTGCTTTTAAACTTAAAATGTTTTAACTATTACTGTAAGCTACCTTGACCCACGAGGGAAGGCAGGGTATAGATGTTTTCATAAATACAATTTAACAGTGTTATCCTAAACAGAGTTACACCCTTCTAAATCTACTGAAGGTTTAGAAGGTTATAACTTTGTTTGCTCTGACCTGGATGGCTCAGGCTAGCCCAATCTCACCAGATCCTGGAAGCCAAGCAGGGTTGGCGTTGGGTAGTATTTGCATAGGAAGCCACCAAGGAAATAACGTGGTTATACAGAAGCAGGCAATGGCAAACCACCTCTATTTGTCTCTTCCTCTGAAAAGCCCATGAAGGGTCGCTATAACACGGTGGCAACCAGGGCTCTTTTTGTAGAAAAAGCCCAGCAGGAACTTATTAGCATAATAGGCCACACCCAACACCAGAAACACATTAGCATATTAGGCAACACCCCTGACAGCACAGCTCATTAGCACATTAGGCCACACCCCCATGTTACCAGAAGTGTGGTCATCCAGCCACACCCACCTTTTGCTTCTTATTCTGTTTACCTTGTTTGTTGTCAAAACCCAGGGCTTTTTTGTAGCAGGAACTCCTTTGCATGTTAGGCCACACACCCCTACTGTAGCCAATCCTAATGAGTTTCTGCTGTTGGGTGTGGCCTATTATGCTAATGAGTTCCTGCTGGGCGTGGCCAACTTGGGAGCCAGCCGGAACTCCGTTCCTGTGCGTTCCTGCCCAAAAATAGCCCTGGTGACAACTAGAAAGCACTTTCTACCACTGCAACTCTGTTCAGGATCACACTGTTAATTGGTTGCAGCTTCTAGCCAAATGTGTATTTAGAGACAGACTCATGTAATGTGTGAAATTGCTTTCAGTTAAGTTTTTTCATCCTGAAAAAATTATAAATAAATTTCCATTTGTCTCAATAGCTTCATTTTCTCTTCTTGCAGAAATTCTAACATTTTGGGTCCAGATTTATATCTGAAGATCATTAGCGGTTCAGTTTTTCACAGTTGCCAATTCTTGTGACTTGAGCTGCTCCTGGCAGTACACTTTTTGACAGAGCTGTGTGAATCTCAGCTTCTATATAAAAATAACCTTGCCCTAATAATGGGCTAAAAGTGAGATGGCAGTGCAAATGAATACATGTACTATAAAAGCAGGAAAGGCAAAAGCCAGATAAAAAGAAGCCACTTTATTCATTTAAAATTTTTAGAGCTGATTTTGTAACTTGATTAAGGCATTTGGAACATTTGAGTTAACCAGTGTTCATTTGGGGGCATCACCTACATTTAGAAGTATCTTTTTGTAAAGTAGGAAGATAATTTGATAGAATGTGAATGATTAACTTTGAGAAGAGTTTCAAGATATACAATACATTACTGTAAAGAAGGTGAAAATTATGTCTTTTTGTGGACAAAGTAGCAATAGGTTTTGTGAGAGATAACGTCAAAGATGGCATAAAGGAATCACATTAATTGGGCACTTGCCTGGCAAAAGATGTGAAAGATGAGAAGTGCTTGCCCACTCCAGAACCACTGATCTCGGGAGGGGTGTTGAAAGACCTGAGTCAGATTGAGGTGATGAGAGAGGAGGTCCTACAACTGATAGACAACTTAAAAACTGATAAATCACCAGGCCCGGATGACATACATCTGAGAGTTCTGAATGAACTCAAATGTTAACTTGTGGATCTCCTTACAAAAATATGTAATCTTTCATTAATATCTGCCTTCATTCCTGAGGACTGGAAGGTAGCTAATGTCACTCCCATCTTTAAAAAGAGTTCCAGAGGAGATCCGGGAAATTACCAACCAGTCAGTCTGACATCGATACCGGGTAAGTCAGTAGAAACTGTTATTAAGGAAAGAATTAGTAGGCATATTAATGAACAAAAACTATTGAGGGTTCAGCATGGGTTCTGTAAGGGAAGATCTTGTCTCCCTAACCTGTTAGTGTTTTTTGAGGGAGTGAACAAACATGTGGTCAAGAAGGACCCAATAGATGTTGTTTACCTTGACTTCCAGAATGCTTTTAATAAAGTTCCTCATCAAAGGCTCCTAAGTAAGCTCAATAGTCATGGGATAAAAGGACATCCTCTTGTGAATCAAAAACTGGCTTATAGATAGGAAACAGAGAGTGAGTATAAATGGGAAATTTTCTCAGTGGAGGGGGAAAGCAGTGGGGTCCTACAGGGATCAGTACTCGGTCCGATGCTTTTTAACTTGTTTATTAATGATTTGGAATTGGGAGTAAGCAGTAAAGTGGCTAAATTTGCAGATGACACAAAGTTGTTCAGGGTGGTGAGAACCAGGGAGGATTGTGAGGCACTCCAAAGGGATCTGTCTAGGATGGGTGAATGGGTGTCAACGTGGCAAATGGGGTTCAG